TTGTTCAATTGCCTGTAATCGATACAAAGCCTCATACTTCCATCCTTCTTCCTTACAAATAATACCGGTGCACCCCAAGGGGAAACACTAGGTCGAATGAACCCAAGATCCACCAACTCTTGCAATTGAGTCTTCAACTCACGCAATTCTGCTGGTGCCATTCGATAAGGGGCTTGATGAATTGGATTCGTTCTTGGAAGAACTCCAATAGTGAATTCAGTCTCTCTCTGGGGAGGCAAACCAGGAAGATCATCAGGAAAGACATCTGAAAATTCACAAACCACAGAAATATCTTCCAGATTCAGAGTGGACCTTTGAGTATCAATGATATGAGCTAAGTATCCCACACAGCCCTTCTTGAGTAACCTTTTTGCCCTTATGGCAGAAATAAAACAAGATGGGAGAATTCTACGTTCTCCATGGAATACTACTTCAGGTTGTCCAGGACTTCTGAACACAACTTCTTTCCGGAAACAATCCACCGATGCACGATGCTTTTCCAGCCAATCCATTCCCAAGATAATGTCAAGGTCAACTAATTCCAAGGGAATCAAATCAGCTTCCAACATGGCATCACCCACTTGGACATAACAATCCTTGAAAACCATGTGCGCAAACAAAACATCGCCCGTAGGCAATGAGATACTAAAATTCCCTGCCATGGGTGTCGGTCTAACACTGGCATAAGGTAAGAAACTATGGGCGATGAAGGAACGGATGACCCCGGGATCTATTAAAACACGAGCAAGGTAACCAAAAATAGGGATCATACCAGTGATAACATCGGGTGTAGCTTGCGCCTCCTGCTATGTCATCGAGAATACACGGGCCTGCGTAGTAGAGCGTCCAGACTGACCCCTCTGACTCCTACCGCCTCTGCCCTGAAAAGTGGACTGCACCCCACTACTCGATGACGAACCCGCCGCAGACGACGATGCACCACTCTATGTCTGACTCTGAGCTCTGCTGCCTTGCCCTTGCTGGGCCCCAGTCTCCGTTGCAGCAGTACCACTAACAGCAAGAAGGGGGCACTCACTCTTATAGTGCCCTACTTGCCCACATTGAAAACACGTCACTCCGCCCCTCTGACCAGAGCCACTAGCCTGCCCACGGTTCGGGCAATCCTTCCTCAGCCTGCCCACAGCTGTAACAGATTGCAGTAAACTGCCTCTGAGGATCCCTGGCTGTACTGCCCACTGATTGTTGTCCCTAGGACTGGCTCCAGATTGGTCGAGAGCCAGACCCCCCACTACTGGAACCGGTCCCACGTTCTCCAGACCAACCACTACTCGCAGAACTGGAGCTGGATCCCCGCCTCTTTGATGGACCCTGACTGGGCCCACCAAAACCAGATGAGCCTCTGCGACGCCTACCAATACCGGCACCCAAACTGTACTTTTTGGCCACCCTATCTGCGGCTTGGGCCAAGGTTCTCATGGTAGGATACGTCGTAGTAGTGACCACCGCCTGAATATCTAGCCACAGACCCTCTTCAAAACGAATGCACTTATCTGCTTATGTGGTTACCAACTCAGGTGCAAATCGGGACAGCTCATTAAATTTGTGCTCATACTCGAACACTGACATGAAACCTTGCCTAAGATGCAGAAACTCAGATTTCTTTGTAGTCTTGTAAGTATGCGGGTGTAACTGATCAAAGAATGCCCTTTGAAACTCTTCCCAAGTAATTACAGCATGGTTTACGTACCCTCTTCGAACTGTCTTCCACCAATAGTATGCATTCCCCTTCAACAGGAAAGCGGCCAAGCGAACCTTATCTCCATCATGACACTGGCGAACTTCAAATATC